ACTATCTCTATGTAAGGGCGTAGAATTCTAAAAGAACAAACAGTTCAGGTAATTTCTGTCAGAACACACACTCTGATACAGCAGTTTCAACTAAGTTTACAACACCATTTTATACTTCTGTCTGGAGCTTTCAGTTTATATAATCCAACTAAAACTAACATGATTCTTTCGAGATGAAAAAAAGAGGAAGAAATTTTAATTAAAACTTAAACCTAAGAGTTCGTGGTTTGATCCCCGTGTCCTAAAAAGTTGTCTAAACGTGACTTTCAGTTGTTCTACTCATATATTTAACTAGCCTAAAAGAAGTCGTTACGTTTTAACAACCAACTTTGCTTTAACTGAATAAGCTACTCGTTATGTTTTACCAGATTGTGATATTCCTGTAATTAAATAAAAACAGTCGTGTTAATATATACATGTTATGAATTCTATTAATTTTGTTCTGAAAAAAATATAACAAAATCTCGCAAAATAATATGAGAGATCCAGAAAGTATAAATATATATATATGCAAAGTAAACTACATAAAGACTTTTCTTACCTTCTTCATCATGTTGCCTAATAGTAAAAATATATTTTAAAAATCAATCAATGAAGTATCAATTGTCCTAGACTGGACGTAAGTAATATAAAATACATAACTTTTATAAACACCAACTTTTAAAGATTCTTCTTCTATTATGCAATGCTTTCCAACGTCACATGACCCAAGCACGCGCCTCTGCATGCGCGAGACAAAGATAGGCGGAGCATTTAAAGCTATCACTTGATTCGGTGTGCCACTCTTCAGAGGTGGTCTCCATCGTCACGTTATCCAATAACAACGACTAGGTCTCGGTGACTTAAAATTCTCGCCCAGAATCACCACAGTTAATTCAAGGAGACAAGATGTTAGGAATATCAGGAGGGAATATCTCGCCGGCGTAAAACCGTTTCATTGCTTATTGAAAAGATCACATGCGCTAAAGATAATTGTGGCGAATCCTACAAGTAAAAAAAGAAAAGAAAGAAATTAGTTGTTCCACATATCGGCTTATAAAACCCGCGTGAGGCGACGTAAGAGGTTAGAAGAGAACCGAAAGTAGCAGTTGACGTTTCAATGCTCGCTAACAAAAGTTCATTCATGGCGGTAAGGCCGATAGTTTACAAACGTTAATTGTGTAGCCTACACTGCTGTAACATTGGAAAGAGAAACATTTAAGACGTGTGGGCAGAAGTACAACTACATTAGTTACTCTGCATCCTGCTTGTGGTCAGCAGTCGTTGTTTTTTTATTAAAGCGTGTTAGGTGTATGTCGGTTTTTTTTTCTTTGTCGTTCAGCGCTGCAGCTAAACATGGGTTGTTTAATTCTTCATACAGTGTTGTTGATTCGGTGCTACTTACGTGACGAAATACTTTCCGTAAAGTAACAACTTTTATCCTGATATCAATTAAGAAGACACCGTGCTTATATATATATATATATCTGATGTTTTATTTTTTCAATTATTTTTTGTGATTTGCAGAGTTTGACGGTAAGAGAGTGTGAGAAACGTTTATTAGGCTCGTATGAGATATATATTTGCTACAACTAATAAAACATGAACAAGGTGAATACAATCGATTGCGGGACTACCGCGGGACTATCCGACGGTTACGACGAAGATTCCCTACAGGGTTCCACGGACACTGAAGCTAGCTCACCCAGTGTTTTAGCAGGGATGTCGACGGCAGCTTCGAGCAACGACTCCCTCGAGTCGAACCCGACTATTCAGGATGCTGTGTCTAAAGTCCTCGACAGTTACGACTGGTCCCAAGTCGCTAAGAGCAGCCGACAGAGCAGCGCGGACAAACGGAAACCTCACGTGAAACGGCCGATGAACGCCTTTATGGTTTGGGCTCAGGCCGCTAGACGGAAGCTAGCAGATCAGTACCCACATTTACATAATGCCGAACTCAGCAAGACCCTGGGTAAATTGTGGAGGTAAGTTAGGGTTCTCTGGCTCACGGGCCATGACCCGGGTGGTTTCACATTTTCGAGCTAATTAAATGAGCAAATTAAATGAAAATTATGAATTATATGACGAAAACTCATATACAGTAACTATACGAAATCCGACGCCCTAGATTTTAAGCTTATATTTTAACCACAACATTAAGCAGTAGCTGTTTCGACACGTTTAAAGGTGCTATCATTCCCAATTTCTACCCCGTATTGTTTGAATTTAATTTCCTTGCGTTAAGCTATAGAGTTATACATCTATTTTAATAGGTTGTCAACGTTTTTAAAAGTTATGACCTTATCAGTGTGTCCTGTACATACGAGATTCCTGGGGTTTATTGGATGTCACAATGATATCCACATTGTTATTTGTTAACTCGTGAATCTGAATATGATATCCACATTGTTATTTGTTAACTCGTGAATCTGACCATGATATCCACATTGTTATTTGTTAACTCGTGAATCTGAATATGATATCCACATTGTTCTTTGTTAACTCGTGAATCTGAACATGATATCCACATTGTTATTTGTTAACTCGTGAATCTGACCATGATATCCACATTGTTATTTGTTAACTCGTGAATCTGACCATGATATCCAAATTGTTATTTGTTAACTAGTAAATCTGACCACGATATCCACATTGTTATTTGTTAACTAGTAAATCTGATCATGATACCCACATTGTTATTTGTTAACTAGTAAATCTGACTATGACATCCACGTTATTCTTTCTTATAAGGTCAGTTAGAATACCCGTAATATTTTACTAAAAGATAGTTAACGGGAGCTACCGTCCGTAAAACAGAGAATTAACTAAATACAGTTGTGTAGTGAGAGATACTTAAATTCGATATTTTAGTTACGTTGCTAGAGAGAGACACGTGGACGAATTTTTTCGTTTCATTTTCAGCGTCACTGTTTATATAAGTATAGAATACGCTTCTGGTTACAGTTTTTTGATATTATATGAGCGAAAGAAAATTAAATTGATAAGTTAATTTCTGTCGAACTATCAATTTACAGTGTTAAAAACTGAGGGAGAAATTTTAATTAGCACAGTGATTTTGAGTGTATAATTATACGTGTGCGAGAGATTTAAACTTCGAGTATTAATCGTAGTAACACTATTATACGAGTGAAATATATTTAAGTTCTGAGATTTAGGGGTAGTACCACTGTTATACGAGTGAAAGATATTTAAGTTGTGAGATTTAGGGGCAGTACCACTGTTATACGAGTGAAAGATATTTAAGTTATGAGACTTAGGGGGTAGTACCACTATTATACGAGTGAAATATATTTAAGTTATGAGATTTAGGGGGTAGTACCACTATTATACAAGTGAAAGATATTTAAGTTCTGAGATTTAGGGGTAGTACCACTATTATACGAGTGAAAGATATTTAAGTTATGAGATTTAGGTGTAGTACCATTATTATACGAGTGAAAGATATTTAAGTTTTGAGATTTAGGGGGTAGTACCCCTGTTAAACGAGTGAAAGAGATTTAAGTTCTGAGGTTTAGGGGTAGTACCACTGTTATACGAGTGAAAAAGATTTAAGTTCTGAGATTTAGGAGTAGTATCACTGTTATACGAGTGAGAGAGATTTAAGTTGTGAGATTTAGGAGTAGTACCACTGTTATACGAGTGAAAAAGATTTAAGTTGTGAGATTTAGGAGTAGTACCACTGTTATACGAGTGAGAGAGATTTGATCTTCTACTTTTGGCTTTAGTACCACGTTTACCACTAAGAGGGACTGTTAATAATTTCGATTACTGCTATTTAAGTAAATGAGGTTGAAGTCAGTTGTATTAATCACAGATTGACTATTATATGCAAGGTCCGAAGGGTTAAATTCTCCGTCTTAAGGTAGCATTTACCATTTACATAGTGTTATCTAAGTTTTGGCCTTTTTTATCAGGAAATACATCTTCGTGTTAAAGTTTTTTGTTTGAAAATATATTGAAATTGCTACAGAAACATATTCTGTGACCAATTTGCATATTATAAAAATAAAGAACTACAAAATAAATGTCAGATGGTCCTGATAACTCCACTCCTACAAACATGACTGAATGCTCCTGAAAACTGGTCCGGACTCTGACGGGTTGTGAAGAATTAATCTGAACAAAGGAAAACTCTGAAAATTAGTTCAAAATAAATTGGGATATATATTTTTGATATTTAAAGGGTATATGCTACCATAAGCCCCCCTCCCCCCAAAAAAAGTAGTTCAAATGTTATGCAATTGTAAAGTTAAGTTATTTTACTGTAAGGCTTGTAAGTTAAACGATTCTCCATCCATTTAAAACCGAAGAATGAATGTATTAGTTTTGATAAACCGGATCTCCTATGCAGTTAATCCAGTGGTAAATAAGTTATTTTACTGTAAGGCTTGTAAGTTAAACGATTCTCCACCCATTTAAAACCGAAGAATGAATGTATTAGTTTTGATAAACCGGATCTCCTATGCAGTTAATCCAGTGGTAAAGGCGATGCCTTTCCCAGTTTCTGCTGGAGACAAGTTTAGGTCACTCACTATACGAGAACGGTTGGTCAATATGTGTAGTGACCCACAGTTTCCAAGTGTTTGTTTACTTCTTTCTACGTCTGTGTAGCCTACATTCACTGATGAAACGAATTATTAAATGGTCATAACCGCCATTCTCTGTTACCATGACGACTGAATATGGTGGATTAGCAGTGCCTGACAGACACACTAGTGTGATAGCATAACCTTTGGCAGAAAACTAAAGTAAACACATCCGTTTTCAGATTTCTCATTTTCTATCTGCGATCGTAAGCATTTGGGTCGCCACCCATATTCTGTTTGGGTGGCGACGAAGAAATGTTTGTTCATATACCAAAAATAAACGGTTCGAATCTCCGTCCCACCAAACACGCTCTCCCTTTCAGCCGTGGCGGCGTTATAATGAAACGGTCAATCCCACTATTCGTTAATAACAGAGTAGCTCAAGAGTTGGCGGTGGGTGGTGATGATTAGCTGCCTTCCCTACAGTCTTTCACTACAAAATTTATGACGGCTAGCGCTGATAGCCCTCGTGTAGCTTTGCGCGAAATTCAAAACAAACCAAAAATAAATATTGAGTAATCCAGAAGTAAGCAGTTCAAAGTTATACAAGTCATTATGCTGATGGCCAATCGAACGTTTAAAAAAACCATGTCCCAGGTCACCTGGCTCTCCTTGTAACTGCTTTCTCCATTAAGCTCGACAGCCCAATTTCTGTTTTATCAGACTTTCTCAAAGTTAGTGATATCAATCTTGAAACATACACCTTTACAAACTTTTCATTGTAAGTGGGCGTCGGCTTCGAAAAACCACGCCCAGCAGGCCAAAGGTACAAAAGATGCATCAGGAAACTTGACAGGTAGGTTGTCCAATGACATTTTTGTGATTCCTGTTCCTTTGCGGTCATCTTTCTCTTGGAAACAGTCGTTAATTTCGACGTGTGGATAAAGGTTTGTGAGCCTTGATATCATTGTTTGTTATCTTGTTAAAGGTATCAGGTGATTTCACCATAATGGCTTTTTTTTTTTTGGATTAGAAGGTCCTCTTTCGTAGCCATAACCTTCACCTAGTGGATAAAAACATTGATCTTGGTGTGCGGTTTCAGAGCCCTTTGCTGTCCTAAACACCCTGCTGCGTGAGTTTTCTTGGTTCCATGGAGAACACTGAAAGCTCCGTTCTTCAAAACGTTCTGTATTTTAGGTCTGTTTATTTAACAATCTCCCAATACAAATGTTTTTCCTCGGAAAGTACAGTACAGTACAGCCTTAAGTTTAACTGTGGTAACATTGTACTTTCCAATGATCGGGAATTCGTGGTAAACCAATTACAGAAGCTATAAACATGTTGCCTGTGGCACCACGGAGTTAATAAGCATGCTGCCTGTGGCGCCACGGGTCGCCAAACTACTTATAAGATTATGGATTACATTTTCACAATATAAGATACTTATAAGATTATGGATTACATTTTCACAATATAAACTACTTATAAGATTATGGATTACATTTCACAATATAAGATACTTATAAGATTATGGATTACATTTTCACTATATAAGATACTTATACGATTATTGTCACTAAGCATAAATGTATTTGCAACAAGACAATATCAGAAAACTGATTGGACAAACATGACAGCACGTGCATGGTATGTTCGAAACTATATAAACAATACCACACATCCATTTCTTGAGACGAGATTTAACGCGGCAAAAAAAAGCTACTTAGTCTATATTTGATACATTCGAAAAACATAATGTAAATTTAAGATAACAACTTACCGCAAGTCGGGCCCGGCATGGCCAGGTGGTTAGGGCGCTCGACTCGCAATCTGAGGGTCGAGGGTTCGAATCCCCGTCACACCACACATGCTCCCCCTTTCAGCCGTGGGGGCGTTATAATGTGACGGTCAATCCCACTATTCGTTGGTAAAAGAGTAGCCCAAGAGTTGGTGGTGGGTGGTGATGACTAGCTGCCTTCCCTCTAGTCTTACACTGCTACATTAGGGACGGCTAGCGCAGATAGCCCTCATGTAGCTTTGCGCGAAATTCAAAACAAACATCTTCTCTTCGGAAATATATCCTCTGAAACATATCAAAGTCTTAGCGAATCACGTTTGGAGAAAACCTTGGAAATGGCAAAAACAAAATGATCGCCTTATAAAATGTAACTTTTTAAATTTGTTTGTAGTTAGGCACAAAGCAACACAATGGGCTATCTGCGCTCTGCCCACCACGGGTATCGAAACCCGGATTCTAGCGTTGTAAGTCCGCAGACATACCGCTGTGCCACTGGGGGGGGGGCGGAAAATTGATAGATAAACTCAGATAGTTTGTTTCCATTAATCATTCAAACTTCGTGAATTTTTTTTTCTACCCCGCAAATTTTACAGGGGATTATTTGCAATTTAGAAAAACGATTTACAAAGGCTAATACAGT